GCCGCATCGCGCGCTTTCTCTTCAGACAGCACAACACTGTTCAAAGCACTACTGATCAAACGCCACCGAAATCGATGTTCGGACGAGAAATGAGAACCCAGCTGACAGCAATTGTCTCGAAGCCCTCAGCGAAAGCACTGTCGGAGGAAGAAAAGCTCCCGCAGAGCAGGAAAATTGAAAGTGGACAGCGCATATACGCCTGCCAGTTCCACAGAAAGCCCGGCTGTGTTGAAGCAACGGCACTCAAACGCATAGGTTTGCGGTCATGGCTCGTCGACATTGGTGGAAAGGCCACACGCCGACACTTTAATCAGCTACGCCGTTCAGGTAATTTGCCAAGGGAACCTCCCATTCAAGCAGCCACCTCGACGGAAGCTTCGTTCCATTTAGCCTGGCATCTCGCAGCAGATGAATCGGCGCCGCCGCCCGCCGGCCCTGAACACAAGGGAAACGACACCCAGCGAGCGGAGGCTTCTCTTCCTAGTGCGTCCAGAACGTCCACGCGCCCACGGCGGCCCCCAGATCGCTTCCAAGCGACAAGCTAAAGAGGGAGGAGATGTTGTGTTCCAAGCACCCCTGTGTCACGAGCGAGCCTCCGAACCCGCGAAGGACCGGTTGCTGAAACTGCTTCCAGATGTTGACTCCTCAGCCACCTCGACGGAAGCTTCGTTCCACTTAGCCTGGCATCTCGCAGCAGATGAATCGGCGCCGCCGCCCGCCGGCCCTGAACACAAGGGAAACGACACCCAGCGAGCGGAGGCTTCTCTTCCTAGTGCGCCCAGAACGTCCACGCGCCCACGGCGGCCCCCAGATCGCTTCCAAGCGACAAGCTAAGGAGGGAGGAGATGTTGTGTTCCAAGCACCCCTGTGTCACGAGCGAGCCTCCGAACCCGCGAAGGACCGGTTGCTGAAACTGCTTCCAGATGTTGACTCCTCCCCTTCCACCGCTCGGCGGAAACGAGCCACCGTCGTTTCCCCCCGGCAGTTCGGCCGCCGCCTCCATCCGAATAGGAATAAACTTGTTTTCAACCGTTCGAGGCTGTCTGAGCTTTTTGGACTACCGCGACCAACGCGTACGTCTATGGGCCGACGACAACACCGGACATAACAAATACCTAAAATGGACTCTTCTACTTGGTGCGATTATTGGCTACCGTGTGCACGTTCTATGCATCTAGATATAAAATAAGAGAATGCAGCTGGTAGCATTGAGTACTGTGTTTAGACACTTGTATACACTGCGAAACCTTCCTGGTGCCAAAATTTGTTGTGGGTGTACGATGAAGCGACTGGCAGCTAGCAATACTGCATTGTTACACCTATTTTTACAATGGAGCATTTTTCAGCTGCTCACGTAGTTCGAGCAGATGTCGATCACGTTCACTGTGGTACGACATTGCCAAGCAGTTCATACATCTGCCCCGCCACGGTGGTCTAGTGGCTAAGGTACTCGGCTGCTGACCCGCAGGGCGCGGGTTCGAATCCCGGCTGCGGCGGCTGCATTTCCGATGGAGGCGGAAATGTTGTAGGCCCGTGTGCTCAGATTTGGGTGCACGTTAAAGAACCCCCAGTGGTCAAATTCCCGGAGCCCTCCGCTACGGCGTCTCTCATAATCATATAGTGGTTTTGGGACGTTAAACCCCACATATTATCAGTTCATGCATCTGCATCCTGCATACCAGGAACCCTTATGTGAAGCAACATGATGCTGTCATGGGGGTAGCTCAGTGAGAACTGGTTTTTCTCTGTCTGTCAGCATTATTAGACAGGTTTGCTAAACACACTTGTGTACATTGAGCAGGCACTTGCAGCTACAGAGTCAGTAGTAACAGCACAATTCAAGAGCAAAATTACATAGCTGTATTTTGCATATTCAAGAAACTCCATTATTTTGTGACAAGCCTACGCCATTTGAATCCCGTCGAAACATGTGGGCACAAAATGAGCCTTGAAAATGGAGGCAAAAGAGGTCACTGAGACGGGAGGTAAAGAGGTCAAGGAAGTTCTGGTACGTACCTTAACGTGACAGCTTGCTCACTCATTTCTTGGTGGTGGACATTAAAAGAATTATGATTTCATATATCATGCAAAATTATTGTATAATTTTTATATTGTATATTAGATTTCTTCTTTTCAGCTGCTTTCTCCCCAACTAATGCTTAACTTCTGCTAGATTGTCTCATGGGTGAAAACAAGAAACCAGGCCAGGGAAAGCAATAAGGTTCTTCATTATAACAGAAGGGAGTATTGCTGTGGTGCAATCTATAGCTGAAAGTTTTGTTAAAGGCACCAATGTGGATTTCACGTGAGGTTTACAGAGCATGATTGTGTTGTGCTTATTTTGTTATCGCAGGAAGCACCTCCGAAAAGCAGTGCTACAAGGTTGTAAGCCATAAGTTCTTTTCAACGAACGGATCAGATATTTAAGAGCCACGGGCCGGCTGCTTCAGGCCTAAACAGATAGCGCAGCCACCACAGTAAAGTTCTTGCAAAGGTGCGAGACATTCCTATCTTGCGTAGAGTGAGCATGTTAATTGTCAGTCTTATAGCTTATGGGGATATATCTGCAAAAGTAATTCCCTGCACAGTGTGTTGTTCATTCTCTCAAAGTGCCATTAGGCAGCTTTGGCTCTGTCTTTCTTTCTTATCACATTCCACACCATCTTGCTAATTCATACAGAGTGCTGCAGCAATCGCATTGTGTGACTATCACAGAAACGTAATTTCGAAAAACAATATGGTGACCGCTTCATGCCTCACCAGTGTATACTCTTCGCTAGCGAAGTGATGTGACTTTGCACTGACTGTCAATAGGTTCTCTCTGCAATATAAAATAGTGTTTTGGCCTTCAAATTACGCCGTATGGATTGTGTCGTTCTGAAACGTGCTGCATATTTGTTTACCTCACCTATGCCTTGCACAGTACTTCCTCACCATGTCGATGTTGTACAGCGGCACATCATTCAGGTCTTGCTTAGTTGATGGCTGCATGCTGATTGCAAAACTACTGACGTCATTCTTTGTTGCCATGTGACTGTATTCATGATGGTAATGTATGCGTACCCCCCTTCAACATGAGCACGATGGAGAAGCCGAGTGAGAAACTGAAAACGGCTACGATGTGTGTTTTACTGGCTGTGACTTCATCATTGCATCATGTGAACACAAAATTTGTGGCAACATCCTCACGTTTTACATTTTTAAGGTTATCAGAAATTTCAGACGCTTGGGTTGTTTAGTAGCTTTTTACATTTCAATTATGATTAGTCAATTTATGCACTGCATGGCTTTGTTGACTTATATTTTGCAATGCTCATCTGGAAAATAGTCTGCAGCTTCTGTCAATATTTATGTGTCCATTATAGAAAATAATTCTGTATGTTCAATATGTACCATCAACAGCAAAGTTTGCGGGACACGAAATGTTCGATTAAGCTAAGTTATCACTTTGTCTAAGAATGTAATTTTGAAAGAAACATTCCATACTGCACTTTGTATTTCTGCCTGTGCAGTCGCCAGTCCAATTACAAGCGTTAAGTACCGACGTATCGGAAATTTGCATTTGTTGTGTATTCAACATCTACCAAGCTTTTCCTGTTGATAGTACTTTCATGGATTTTTGTGGCACTAGAGCCACCTCCTTTCTCCGCTTTTGCAGCTACATAGCTGGCAGTTGTTTGCTTAGTTGCTTTGTTTACGTATTACCTATTCAACCAGCGCACCTAAAACAGTATCTGGGTGTTTTTGCATTATTAGTTGTTTAATAGTTTATTAGTCGTAGAGCTTTTTTGGTCTTTTGGCTTTTACTTTTTGACAATTTAACTGCTGTTTTCAGAGCAATATGTAGATATCAATATTGACTCTACTAAGCTTTGGTTCAATAAGGAAAGCGGAACAGTTGCCGAAGTGCATGGTCTGCGCCACAGCACTTTAGGTTACCAGAAATAAATTCTAGGTCGGATAATATGTGGCTTCTTGCTAGTTGCTTGTCTTGCTTTTGCTTAGAGCTCTTTTCATAGTTCTAAAATTTAACTTACGTTGCTTACCGCTATGCAACCATGTCAAGAATCCCCGCACTGAATGGATTTTATCTTTAGGGCAGCAGTTGCACTTTTAAAAGAGGCAAATGCTAAAAGTCTTACTGCTTTTGAATTGACGTTCACATTCGGAACCTCATTAGTATTGTTACATCAAGTGAACAAATTGGTAATTCTAGATTGTATACATATTTCAAATAGGAGAGATGAGCTGCTTAGTAGGTTGGTATTCATGGTAAAAAGGCAGAACATGCAAACATACTCGATAGAGTATTCAAGACACCGCAAACACCAACCGGAAAAGTTGACATTAAGCTAGAAACGAAACAAGGCAAGTGTCGATATACGGCATGCCTTTTGGTCTATGTGAAAGATAACTGCTCAACATTTGATTTCTTCGTTGAGCTATTTAATGGTTGGCTCACAGATGCACTACCACATGTTGCTATGCCAAGCTTCAACCATTATATGCATATCTTCATTTCTGTGCTTGTACGAAAATGCATGATTCCAATTTTGGCATGCATTTACGTCGTGATATAAAGATAGTTTTAATGATGGGCCTCTGGTTAACCGTCTTATATGTTCCGTTCGTCTGCCTTGTCATTGTTAGTTGGCATTTGAAGTGTCCTGACTCACCTGCGGCCATATTTGTATGCCCAGTTTTTTCAACGTGTATGCATTTATTGCACAAGGAAAATAGGCTGAGTGAGTATCAAGAAGTTAAATTTATGTCTAGTGTAAAATTTTGTTCCTGTTTCTGTTAGACTTCTTGCTTAACACTGACTCGGCATTATTTGGAGCCTGCTAATGGGGGTATGAGATATACATACATAACGCAGCAGCTGTTACCATGGTTTCATGCTAACTCATGAGGCCGACAAAGTCAAGTTTTGTTGCAAGGGGCATGCTGGAAAAAGTGAATTGTTTCTAATGTTTTTTTTGTTTTCTCGGCAGACATTTACAAAAAACTGGCCCAAAGGTGGACAGAAGGCAGTACAGATGGACACACAAAAGCCATCGGGCTGCCTCAGAAACTGTGACGAAGCATTACCCTGTAAGTATTTGCGAGTTTATGGTCTTGTCTTGTTAGACTGCGCAGCGGTTTTTTACCATTTGCAATATTTTCTTGAAAACTGGTGCTTTGATGCCTCAATGTGGGACGAAGTTTTTCCAGCACTATTTTCGGGGACAAACTTTCTAATACAGCAGGGGCCTCTGAAACCTTGTGCTCACAAATTGAATAATGGTAGAAAAATAACTGAAACATGATTTTTGCTTCTTGCTTTTATCAGTCTTTGTTTCCTTGTCAGCAAAATTTCATTACTCTGGTATCGAAATAATTTTTGTTTAAATTTACACTAATGTTGGTGGTGAAAAAACATGGCAAAATGGTATTCGCCCATGACCCGCAGGTCGCGGGAATGAGTCCCGGCTGCAATAGCTGAATTTTCGATGGAGGCGGAAATGTTGTAGGTGGTCAAAACTTTTGGAGCCCTCCACTACGGCGTCTCTCATAATCATATGGCGGTTTCGGGATGTTAAACCCATATATCAATCGAATCATACAAAGCAAAATGCAGTGTTTTTTGTATAAGTTTTACAAGAGTGATTCTTTCTTGTAAAATAAAATTATATTGTTTGTTTGAAGGGAATTTACCAAGAGAAAAAAATACTTCTGACTCTAAAAATTGAAGATGCCTTCACATATTTTTACCCTCGGTTCTTTGGCTGATAAGACAGTCACTAAAGCATAAACGTAACGGGTGAGCGATAAATTGAGAAAAAAAGGCTTATTGTCCATATTTTCAAATTCTATCAAACACTTCCTAATAGTTGTCTTATTACCTCAGAACTTAAAATGAAAATAGGGGGGAGGGGCTTGAATGATTGTTATATCATCAAAGAAAGTTTGATGTTGGATCAAATCAAGATTTTTTCAAGATTAGGTAGTTTGGAGTGTTTGAACGAAAATTGTTTGTGTAAGTCGTGGCAGTAACCTTGATACGGTTTGCTGCTCTGGTAAATGGATGTCCCCTTGTCGAGTCACTAATTTTTAGCATCATGGACATAGTGTTATAAAGCTGTTTAGCAGCCAGACCCCTGCTAAATGCATTGTCCTCTGCAGCTTAAGTTTTGCACCCAGTATCATTACAATAGAACCATTTGATAAAGTTGAGGATTTGTAATGAATGTGTTGAGACTCATATCTGATGAGAAAAAATCATTAACGAATGTTACAGCTTGTTATTCGACAACAGAACTTTTCTTTACCGAGACAGCAAACTGCATCAAGGTTGCTGCCACAACTTAGACAAATTGTCTTATTCAAACATCGGCTCGAACAACACACTTAATTTGGCAATATGACACTCATTCAAGCCCCCACCTTCATGTTAGCAACTGCCGTAATGAGATGTAAAACTGTCATGTAGTGTTTATTGGATTCTAAAAACCTACATATGCAATCCTTGCTTCTTAATTTATTGCTAACCATTTGTGTTGATTCATTATTGTATTCATCAGGATAATACCCTTACCATGATGTTATGACTAAGGCAACGTGTACTCATCTAGCACTCTGTCACGCGCAGTGACAGAGTGCTGGATGGGTGGAGGCTACGGAGACGACAACGAAGTTCTGATCCTTTTATCTCACAGCACCTGTGGAGGGAGACTCCCAGGTGCCGTTACTTTATGTTCCCTGCCGCACGTAGGCCTCTGCAGTGGTCTACAATAAGGTTTGTCTTGTGTAATATTTCATAATGTAATGCAAAATTATTTTGTCCCCCCCACAAAACTCTCCATGGTGTAAGTAGTTAAATAAATTGTAACAGCCAACCATCGCACGTATTAAACGAAGTTTGTTATGCCAGTTTATGAATTCTTTTGCAGTTAGAATATAGTGTGCTTAACGTTAAGTTCTTGTCAACTACAGCAATAGGTCTTCGTAGCATCATGCTGCTTGTTCTGCATGTGATCTGTTCTTGTCCAGAAATACCGTCTGCTTTTGTGATTCATAAAATAGTGGCGTGAACGGAGGTAATGTATGTAGTAGATACCACAGTGGTTTAAACTGTAAACATTGCTGCTGCTACATTAGTTTTTTTGTACTTCCTTTTCAGACATACAGAAAGGAGCCAAGTGGAGCTGTTCATGGGTCATGCAAACAGTTTCATAAGCGGGCTTTTAGCACTTTTTACAACTATGTCTCTGAATACGTCTGCCAAAGTTGTGCTCAAAGAAGCATGTAGTAGTGCATTTCATTGTTCATTTGGCATGCTGCAGAAGGTATGACTCATACATCTGCAAGATAACGCAACACAGTGCATACACACAAACTAGCCCACATACACTCTGGTTTTGTGGCTTAGTTGTAAATTGTTTACTCTGACCTTGCACAACAATTAATTACTAAATGACATGAAAGCTTTGCCATCTATGCAGGTAGCGTTCTAAGTATATACTGGCAATAAATGTGCAAAGTTCAAAGAGTGCACTGGTCACAATATTCTTGTAAACATATAGAGAGGGAAGACCAGGGTTGTTGGAAGCTCATACACGGTGAGGTAAGGACCGCGACTCCAGAAGCTTTCTGTTTTCTTGCCTTTGCACACGAGGTGGCATAGTGAAATTGTTCAGGCTGCAGCTATGTCTTGTCACTCAGCAGTGTTCAACAAGCTCTGTGTCAGAACATGTTGCAGGGAAAACTTAAGCAACATCCTCATTACGTTCTTTACGTTTAGTTGACCATATTTTATTTGTTTTGTCCATGGAAGTTGCATCAAAATTTTTCCTTTATACTTTACCGATGACCTCACTCATATCTTCAGTGATTTTCGGTATACCTTGGGATATACGTTCACGGACCGCACACCTGCGCATGATCGGATGAAGGTCTTTTAAAAAGTACACTGGGGTATTGCAGCACCACTCATATTGGCAAAACTGGCAGAAAGAGTTCAGAGGTTTAAAGGCTGCAAAGGGGGGATGCTGTTATGGCCACCAGTGCAGCTTGTTCCAAGACTGAGTTTAACTGCTGGACAACAAGGCGTAGCTCCTATATAAACAGTGCTTGAAAGTGGCTTAGAGACAGATAGGAAGAGGGGGGAGGACTTGGAATATTGGTTTATTTGTTGCCGACCATTAACTTCCAAGAACAACATGTTCGCGAGGATGTATATTGCTAAAGAACTGATCACCCTTCACTAACTTGCTGCCAACATATGCTGCAACTTCCATCTGCTTAGGTGGGAACACTTCTATGCACCTTTATTAGCTGCAAGTCCAAGTAAACTCTTTACACTCATTAATTCACACATTGTTTGGAACATCTTTGAATGTGCAGGCTGGCTCAACAGAAAGAAATCTGCGAAATGTGGAAAGGGAGGATATAACGTGAACCTAGCACTGGTAAACTTTTGGCCTTGTTGGTGTAACATTTTCATGAAGCTCAGCGTAGCACTTCAAATCACAAGAATGGGACAAGGTTGCGTATGTTCGACCTGTCCCATCTTCTTCATTTAAGTGCCGCAATTAGCTTTAGAAACAAGTCATGTGCCCTTTGTGCCTTTGCTGCAAACTTCATTCTTGTGTTCTTTGTGTACAGTTCAGTTCAACCGGACTCCTGTTCAATTTGGTGTTTTGTACACAACAAACAGGAGCTTTAGGGAGCTATCTATGAATGACTGCATTCATTCCAAAAATCATGCTACTTGTGCAAAACATATAGTATGGTGTAATCATTCTATGAACCCTGTGTTCACTTGCAAATGAAGGTGTGCCCATAAACTGAATTAACTTCGTGTCCAGGCAACAAAACTCTCCGACAAACATTGCAAATAACTCACATTCACAAGCACGCAGAACATAAAGGAAATCCTCCATTGCTATATTTTGCAAGCAGGCTGCAAGGCACAGCTGTGGTGTGGCGTAGTATGTTGTGTGGAAAAATACAGCAGGCTGTTGTGCAGAACAATACAGCAGACTGTTGTGTCGATTGACACAAACATTTTTGTATTAGTTGCGATAACGTATAGAATACACACGAACGCCTTGTTCGAAGGAAATTGTCGTATTTTGATCAAGGAATAATATATGTCGCCTTATTAGAGTGGCGGGTTCTGTGGTAACTGTGCTGAAGCATGACTTCCGGGAAGAGGCTACGTCTTAAGAAGCTAGTTGTATTCTTGCTCACGGAATTGCTCGGCACCGCTATATCTTCGGCATCCTCTGTGAAGGAGGATCCTTATTTTTTACATTGTACAAAGGAACTGGACTTCCTATGAATAACTTTGTATGTTTACTTTTTACAGCATGTTCATACAAGTTGCAAGAAAATCGTGTTATTGCAAAGATTCAATTAAAGTATAAAAAAAGCTTCAGAAGAAATGAGTAGCACAAACTGTTTTTCAGTACATCAGCAGGAGCACTTTGCTGCGAAAAAACTGCAGATGTGTGTTTAACGAAATTCATGCACCATAGCCGAAACGTTTTTGTGTAATACAGTGAGTGCATACCCCTTACAGGTACCAACCATCTTGCAGTACAATAAAAACATGCCATTTGGAGTCTATGAGGTTGATTACAACAAATTGGAGACCGGCGCTGGATAGATGGCACGCCTAAATAGAGCACCTAGCGGAGAGTCGTGTCTGAACTCATCTGCTCGCTCTCAGCCGACCGGCCGCAGTGCACCACTCAGAGATCAGGTGCGCGCGCCACTGCCATGCTTCATTTTGGACAGAACAACTCGCAAATCTATTGCGCTAGTAATACTGCGGTGCGGTTTAGAAAAATAACTTTGTCCGAAAGTTATTCTCAAATAAAACTCACTAAAAACAGAAAAAAGCCCTGAAAAGCGGACTGCGTCTCTGCATATAGTATCGAAAGGACAGTGCTGGGCCGTGTTGGCAGCTCCCTTGTCCACATTTTCTGGTTGCGTACTGGGTTTTGGGGTATTGCTAGTTCTCACTGACATGCCTTCATTGATAAGTTTGCACTGCGGCGATACCACGCTGCTAACCTCTGCAGTAAAACAAAATAGTACAAAAGCCCAGCAAGTGGTAGCTGCATCATTTTTTTTCTCGCAAGGTTTGTTCAACCTATCCACGGTATGTATGCACAGGGAAGTTGATCAAGCTAACAACAGTGGTAGCATAGCACGTGTGGTGTGGCACTGCTATTCTTGAGGCCTCTTGATTGATTGGCGACCATGGCAGCCGCTTTTAGGTTGGGGTGAAATATAAAAGGAACATCCATGAACACAGATATATGTGCGCATTAGAGAACCCCAAGTGGTCACAATTGTGATACGCACACTACAGCATACATCAAAATTATACTTTGTTTGGCGCATGAAAGCCTAGCAATAATCGATGTTGAACAGACACCTTCATTTAAGGCCGACACAGGCAAGCGGAAAAAACTGAAAGTGTGTTTTAGGTGAAGTAAACAACGCATAAAAGTCGAAGACGGTTGATACTTTTCCAGCAAGGCATAAAATTTGATGTTACTTAGCCACGGCACACAGTAAAAAAAAAGCTTACTGCATCTGCTGACTCCAGAGAGCTAAGCTTCGAGTTGTGCGCTGGATTGTTCGTAACAAGAACCCCGTATTTTGCACAAATTAAGTTAAGGAAAGGCATCTCGGCATCGAGTGTTCACCGCGAAACTATCTTTTACAACAGCTCAGAGGCGTAGGTGAACGTGGCCCCGCGCAAGTCTCGGACAAGGCAGCTTTTATTTACATGCAACTGTTAACAAGAAAGCCTACCTGCTTAACGCGTCATTTCCCTTTACGTGGTCAGATCAGATGGAGTTGTCTGGTGGTGGTCAGATGAATGTACGCAGGGAAACTTTGTTAGTATTGAAGTGCACGACACAACGCTCCTCGAGCCAGATAAAGAAAGAAGTTTACATATGCCGTATGTTGCATAATACGCTTTATTTATTTCCGGCAAAACGCCGTTTAAACTCCACTGTTTGGCTCTGGTTTCCACTCGTGGCAGTCGTCTCTATCGAATAATTATATGAGACACGTGTCATTTGGTTTAGAAACAAGCCGACAGCACTAGACAGGAGAGTGATAGCATAATTTTTCTCGCCTGACCACTATATTCTAGCACTTGAATGCGCAGCAGCACCACCAGTGCCTTGTAGTTTTTTTTTTTTTTTACGGCGATGTGCACCGTTACCGCCTTTACAAGCCGCCAGTCTCGTTTGCAGGAGCAGCTGATAAGTGCGCGCCCTCACCACCAGGGTGGTCGTGGGAACTCCAGCGCTAGTTGCCTATAGGGCACGTGGCTCCGGCGCTTACCACAACGCAACTGCATGGTTTTTCTTTGTACAGTAGTTTTGGAGGATAAAATTGAAGGAAATTTCACTTGTGTGGAAAACAGGAAGAAACAAAATGGAAGCTGACACGAACAAGCACTGACAATAAATTACCGACTTTCCTCAATGCTCATCACAGAGGAGAACAGCACATCTCTTTCACAACGCCCCGAAAAACTCAGTACCTACTCTTCTAGATGCTGAGTTGAAGAGCTGCGTCCCCTTTCGTCAAGCAAACACTGAAGTCACATATTGCCTGTCTTTAACCCTTGTAGTAGGTTGCAGCCGATTACTTGGCTAGATCTTCTGGTTTTTTTCGAACTCCTGAAAGTGTACGCTTGCTTCACAAAACGTACATGTCTGCTTAGAATAAATGTCCGTCAAGAGCGCTTATATAAAGTGAACCGCAGGGCATACTGTACTAACGTTTACTTTCCATTACATCACTCAATTTTTGTCAGGCGAAATGTATGAAAAACTATGCCTCATGATAAACTTTATGTCAACAATAATTTTATGTTGTACTATGACATACTCAGAGGTCTCTTTTCTCTACCATAGACAAGAATGAAGTTTATGAAATTGTTATTCGCTAGTGCGAACCTTTTACAACGTACCGGTATCCAACTCATGCTCCAGGCAACTCTAATGCTCCCGAACACATTTTCTGGTTTCAACATACCGGTCTGTAGTAATGGCGGCAACTGTGAGCTGTTTTATTCGTACCGCACTGAGCTCGCCAATAAAGCCAGCAGTTTTCATATGTTGACGCATTCTTGGGTCTGGTGACTTAAAGGTGACAGACACATAATATTTGTTGAAATGATGTATCTAGTTCGGCAGGCTAGCTGACAACTCAGTTGGGAATATTCGTATAGACAGTTATTTTTTTACATCATCTACTTGCACCTGCGAGAAGCGAAGGCTCTTGAAGTGTCGGCGTTGATGATGGTATACGTGAAGTATTTCGTTGAATGTCCTGTTGAGTCGCGCCTTTCATCGCTAAGATGATGAAGGCTGCGGTCTTTGCTGGACCCCTCTAATTTATATTCTTGAACAGTTCACAGCTGAAAATATGACTTTCTGCAATTTTTCTGGACGCAATGAATAGTTGCCCATCTACCTGTATTATGGCTGTGTTATAATTGTGTAAGTACGGTACTTTTCTGCCTTAAATACGTGATTATGAACTGCTAATACTCTAGTACATCGCCCAAATAATGGAGAAAAATTTCGGCATCTCGTTGGAACACTCGCTTAAAATAAAAGAATGCGACATACCGTTGTGGAGCCATAATAATTGATATAATGAAGGGATTTTACTTGAGAGGTGGCCTGTTACAAAGATCTTAAAGGGGTAGATGCTCGATCACTGCTTCGAACTTTAAGATACTGGAGTGTGCACAACGTGAGAAGGAAGGTCATTCCAATCTTCTGTGGTCTTGACAAAAAAGTATGAAAGGTGCGCAGTGTATGAAAGGTGCGCAGGTGCGCACTTGGCGGGTGAACAGCTTTCCCTTGATTGAGCGGTCTGAATAATGATGCGCTGGCTTTATGATTTAATTGAGAGGTAATCCATGATATAACTTGAAAAACAGCCACAGATGAGTAAGACGTCCCCGCTATATGCCGTCGACGGCCAAAAAGAGGGAAGCTCAACGCCTTTTCTCAGTTCCTTCTTGGCTATGCGTCTCAACCACTTTCCCCACAAAGGGATTTGTGCAGGGGCCGGAAAATAAGAGACGCTACGACCTTTTTTTAATTACTGATGCTTTACATTTATTACTAAATGCAAACGGCTTACGCGCACACTACCCGCATAGAAACAGTTCTGCTGCACAAAATTGTGAAACATGATTTAGACACTCTTGACATGTGAAGCAGAATACATTGGCAAAGTAACTACAACAATATAAGAGTACGCCAATATGAAGAAACCACGCAACGACACAAGTCATTAAGTTATCAATTATTAAAACAACGCAATGTTTCAATCCGCCGACTCTCTTTCCGCAAAGTTCGTCCAACGGAAATAAAGCTCGTCTCACGAATGGTCCATGCTGTCGGGGCCTCGCAATTGGCTTTACGAGTCGGGGCTCAGTGCTTCATCCATGGGGTCACTGTCCAACTCGTCAAGGTCTTCATCGTCTTCATCATCGTCGCCTTCGTTGTCTCTTTCAGTAATTTCCATCTTAGTCCTCTTTCATAACGCCTCGATCACTCATCTCCTCGTCTCCCATCCCTAAATTTACTTCCTCATCATAACGTAACTACCTCCACTACCATCCAATCGACGCTCATTGCTATCTCTGCGCACAGTGTTATCTTCATTTTCCATTCTGTCTCTCTACCATCTCGATCTCATCACACCGTCTCGTTTTCCATTCGGTTTTTTTACCATCTCGAACTCATGTCACCGTCCTCTTTTTCCATTCGGTCTCTCTACCTACTCGATCTTGTGGTACCATCCTCTTCAATCGCGGTTCCGCGGTCCCTTTTCGTAGGACCTGACTCCACCCCTTCGTGGCACCTCAATGGCACCTAATTGATTGCGACTGATGATGCAGCATATATCTCTGTCAGTCGGTGTGTGTCAGCTTCGACGACTGCCCCCGCAGCCCACGGCAGTGGTAAGCCCTTTCCCAAGCAAAGTAGAGCATGTAACAATGTACGAACTCCAATTTAAGAGACAGAGATAGGCGAGCGGACCACTGACACGTGAATTGTGGGCGACCAGCAGTTACAACATACAGACAGAGCGCGCCGTCTGTAATGGCTGACGCCCGGAGTTTGGAGTGCTGTACCGAAATGATTACGGCCTCGCAATTGCCCAAGTTTCTGGTATCCGATGTCCAGACTGAGTTTCGACGCCTCTTTGCAACCCTGTGTTTCACGTACAATTCTCCACAGCCGCTGCCTCTTCGTCTTTCAATGCCACAAGTGGTCATCCGGACAGAACGCAGTAATGCGTTCGGGAACCGCGGAAGGTGACAGAATATCAGGCCGGGCCAGGCACAGCCGCTGCTACAGTAGAGTCGCACGTTGTTGCGACCGGG